GGCTCTCACTTTTTTGGGGCTGCAGCCTGCTGCACTTAGACATGGATCATCACTCATTGTGGCCAAAGACAGTGAAAATGCTATTTAGAGTTACAGTGGATATAAAAAGTCTACACACACCTGTTAAAATGTCAGGTTTCTGTGATGTAAAAAAATTAGACAAAGATAAATCATTTCAGAACTTTTTCCACTATTAATGTAACCTATAAACTGTACAACTCAGTTGAACAACAAACTGAAATCTTTTAGGTGAAGGGAAGTAAAAATAAAAAAAATAAAAAAATATGGTTGCATAAATGTGCACACCCTTAAACTGATACTTTGTTGAAGCACCTTTTGATTTGATTCTAGCACTCAGTCTTTTTGAGTATAAGTCTATCAGCATGGCATATCGTGACTTGGCAATACTTGCCTACTCTTCCTTGCAAAAACACTCCAAATCTGTCAGATTACAAGGGCATCTCCTGTGCACGGGCCCTCTTCAGATCACCCCACAGATTTTGAGCGGATTCAGTCTAGGCTCTGGCTGGGCCATTCCAAAACTTTAATCTTGTTCTGGTGAAGCCATTCCTTTGTTGATTTGGATGTATTCTTTGGGTCGTTGTCATAATGAAAGATGAAGTTCCTCTCTATGTTCAGCTTCCTAGCAGAAGCCTGAAGGTTTTGTGCCAATATTGACTGGTATTTGGAACTGTTCATATTTCCCTCTACCTTGACTAAGGCTCCAGTTTCACCTGAAGAAAAAAAACAACCCCAAAGCATGATGCTGCCACCACCATGCTTCACTGTGGGTATGGTGTTCTTTTGGTGATGTGCAGTGTTGTTTTTGTGCCAAACATATCTTTTGGAATTATGGCCAAAAATTTCAACCTTGGTTTCATCAGACCATAACACATTTTCGCACATGCTTTTGGGAGACTTCAGATGAGTTTTTGCAAAATTTAGCCGGGCTTTAATGTTTTTCTTCGTAAGAAAAGGCTTCCGTCTTGCCACTCTACCCCATAGCCCATAGACATATGAAGAATATGGGAGATTGTTGTCACATATACCTCACAGCCAGTACTTGCCAGATATTCCTGCAGCTCCTTTAATGTTGCTGTAGGCCTCTTGGCAGCCTCCCAGACCAGTTTTCTTCTTGTCTTTTCATCAATTTTGGAGGGACGTCCAGTTCTTGGTAATGTCACCATTGCGCCATATTTTCTCCACTTGATGATGACTGTCTTCACTGTGTTCCATGGTATATCTAATGACTTGGAAATTCTTTTGTTCCCTTCTCCTGACTGATACCTTATAACAATGAGATCCCTCTGATGCTTTGGAAGCTCTCTGCAGACCATGGCTTTTGCTGTAGGATGCAACTAAGAAAAACATCAGGAAAGACCTACTAGAACAGCTTTACTTTATTTGGGGTTAATCAGAGGCACTTTAAATGATAACAGGTGTGTACTGACTCCTATTTAACATGATTTTGAATGTGATTGCCTAATTCTGAACACAGCTACATCCCCAGTTATAAGAGGGTGTGCATACTTATGCAAATACATTATTTTAGTTTTTTAATGTTTACTTCCCCCCTAAAAGATTTCAGTTTGTTTTTAAATTGAGTTGTACAGTTTATAGGTCACATTAAAAGGTGGAAAAAGTTCTAAAATTATTTATCTTTGTCTCATTTTTTTACATCACAGAAACCTGTATATCCATTGTATGCCTATGAGCACCTTTATGGTTCCTGACCCTCAATTTACTGTATGTCTTTCAGTACATTCTGACTGACTGAATATCACGTGTGGTCTATACTGTCATTTTTATTTTATTTTAGCACTTGTTGATCAGAATGCAGAAATGAACTGCCCAATGCAGGGTTAAAGATTCCTACAGACTTGCAATTATCTCCTAGATTGTAAGCTCTAACGAGCAGGGCCCTCTGTTTCCTCTTGTACCAAACTGTATTGTAACTGTTATGTCTACCTTCATTTTGTAAAGCGCTGCACAAATGTTGGCGCCATATAAATCCTGTATAGTAATTATTAGTAACAGTGTCCTGAGTCTGCCATTCTAAAGTCTGTGGAGCACCCATAGACAGAGCCTGACTTATTGGGTAAAAGCGCTTAGACAGATTAGAATATTTTGTCCATTTGTTATTGTTTCCCCAATTAACCCATCTACATAAGACTAAACAAACTGAATCCATACGACCATTCATGTTCAGGACTGTGCTGTCCTACATACATACCTCCCAACTTTTTGAAATGGGAACCAGGGACACTTATTAGCAAATGTATGTAGGCATTGGACACACTCCCTGCCACATCCCCTTAAAGGAGACTTAGACAAAAAAAAAAGAATAGCTTTTTTACCACTAATATTCCTTTTTATTGGCTTTTGAGGTTTAAAATGCAAGAATTTAAAAATTGGATGGAAGGTTTAGCATTGAGAAACCTTTTTTGAAAGATAAATAGTGCATTTTATACACAACTATATAGATCAGACCAAAATGAGGGACAAATGATGAGGAAAGAGAGACAGAGGGACTTTGTTCCAAATCAGGGACAGTTGGGAGGTATGTACACTAACTGTATGCCTAAAGGCAGTCTGATCCAACAACCCTCCAGTGATTATGACCAGTTTAAGTCAACTTAAACATACATTAAACATTACAGTAATAACTGAAAAATAAAAGGCTACTAAATGTCACCTTGGGGTATTAAGACTTTAGCATTAGTTTGTTTAGGTGTGAAGAAGTCTTTCCAATTTCACCTCTAATTTCTTCAGTTTTACAGATGGCAGTATATTATTCTTCCATATCAATGTTTGAAACATGCCATAACATTTACAGTACAGTATACTAGGACTATGAAAGCTTATGGTCCCAAATATTTCAAATAACATTTCCCTGCAGAAGTAATAAAGCAAAGCTACACAGATTGTATACTACAGAGTTCTTTGCTGCAGAGACATTGTAATTTAACCCACAGAGACCAAAACGGAAACTTCTTACTAGGACAAAGCGAAACATCACCAGCTCTATTTATAATCACGGTGTCGAAAGCACTCCACAACAGGGTGTATATATATATATATATATATATATATATATATATATATATATATATATATATAGAGGCACTGGAAGACGTATATGTGTCACCTAGGTTTCTCACTTATACATGGTGAACGGCTCCAGAATTGATGATGGATATTGAGAAAAACATTTTTTTTTGGCAGAATTTTAAAAAGCTAGGAGGATCTGAGTGCAGATGATTACAGAAAACTGAAATTATAGCAATTATAGCAACAGTACTTAAAAATATATATTATTGCAGGTGCTCTGCCCTGCAGACTCGGCAATCCAGATGGTGCTGTCCCCTGCAAACTCATTTTTCCAGAGATGTGGTGCTCTGCCCCCAGGAGGAATGCTGCAAAAAGTGGCAGCAAGTCATTATGTGAGCCTGGAGTTTGACATTAATGTGATCAGTCTATAGTCTGAATTAGCACAGACTAATGACTTCATCAAAGTGCTGCTTCTCCTTCATTGTTTAAACACAGCCTGGGGGAGGTTGGTGGCCAAGCTGTAATACTTAAAGCAGAACTCTACAATCTTAAAACACCCCATTTGGAAAGCTCCTCTCATATATAATGTACAGCGCTGAGCAAACCTTTTAGCGATATATATAAATACTGTATAATAATGTATAGCTCCCCCCCTCCTATCAGAGGCTGAAAACAAATCTTAGAGATAACATGCCTGTTTAGAGCGACTGCAGAGTTATTCTGGCTTATTGCTGAACTTAGTCTCATTAGATGAATTTTCCGAGGCTATGCTAAAAAATTGGAAAACAATCTAAAGCCTAGTACACAGAATCAGAAAATCGTACAAAAAAAATGCTGCTTTCAAAGCGATTGTATGAATCTAATTGTTAGCAAAGATCCATTATCTCCTGCGCTCAAGGACTCAGATCAAACAGGCGTTAGTGACAAGCAGCGTGTTGTGTATTCATCCACTGGTGATCAGAGGTTGTGCAGCTCTATCATGAAGCTGGGGAAGCTTAATAAAACTGTAGAGGAAGATGAAAGAAAGAGCGCACAAACCTTGCGCACTACCTCAATAAATAGTGACTAATTTTTTTAATAAGGAAATATACTCACAAAACGATTGTATAACAGGCATAAGTAACCATAATCCAAACAGGGTTACAGGTAAATCAAAAAGGGGGGGGGGGTGAAGGCTAACGTGTTTCGAAGGGTGCTCCCTTCTTCATCAGAGCTGGGTTTGGCAGATAGAAACTTCAGTATGGCAGAGTTCCCATGGCAAGGAGATATTCAGCCACTGAGTGTCAGTATTACAGCAGTTCAGCCTGTTTAGTGACTAAATAATTTTTCCAATATTCTCATTATGTGTACAGGGCTTTATACATGGGTGATTGTTAAGCAGTCAATTGCCCTTACGTATTTACATCTGTGGAAGGGGAGAGATTAGAGTGGAAGTTTGGGCTAACACTATCTATGCTTAAACTTGCTCCCACTCCCATTCCAAGCCCTATACTAACTATCCTGTAAAGGAAAGATGTGTATACTTACCTAATCTAAGAACGCTCCGGTCCGGTTACGTGGTCTCCCCAATGGCCGGCTTCAGGGGAGAAGAAAGAGTAGTGACAACGGCTGCAATGCCTGGGTGGTAATATCACCCATAGACTTACTGGGGCATCTGTTGTCAGCGCTCTCTCCTCTACACTGAAACCAGTGCGGAGTCCCAGTCACATGACCGGACGGGATCGCTCTTAGATTAGGTAAGTATACACATCTTCCTTTTACAGGATAGTTAGTATAGGGCTTGGAATGGGGGTAGAAGCAGGCTTAAGCTTAGATAGTATTAGCCCAGACTTCAAATTTAAACTTTGATCATTATATAGCCTTAATCTTCAAAATAGTTCAAAGTGTTTTGGTAAGAGGTACATGCATAAATACACAAGAAATACTGTAAGTATATACATAATACACACCTAATTGTAACATTCCCTGCCCACAGTGCTGATCTTCCAGCCACTCTCCTTCATATACATCTCCATTGGCAAAGTGCATTCTACCCCAGCCACTTCTTTGTCCACCCTTCCAGTCTCCTTCATAATACTCGGTGTCTGTATAGAAATAACTTCCACAGCCCTATAAAGAAATCACAGTGTAATTAATATGGTGTCATGTAGGGATGCACCGAAATTTTGGCCACTGAAACATATTGTGGAAAATAGCTCTATTGGCATTTTGCTGATAGGAAAAATTTGCAGAGACAGGTTCCGGTATGTACTGCAGATGGGGGGGGGGGGGGCATCAGAGAGAGTCAGGAGAGGAGCAGTGTATACAGTGACTATAAGTCAGTGCCAGTTTTTAAATGCAGTTGCCGTTTTTTTTTTTTTCTTCACTATAGCTCAGAGAATCAGCTGTCGCTTTCCCCAAGCTAAAAGAAATAAAGTTTCTTTTTAGTTTCTTTTCCGAGCTAAAAGAAACAAAAAAACAGCACTTACATATAGTGAAAGCCAGTGAGGGAGCCTCTCTGTATACACTGCTCCTCTCCTGCCCCCTCCTTGCACACACTGCCTCCTCCTCCCCCCTACAAAGAGGATCTGTCACTTATATGCCATCACATAGGGGATTAGTGGTCCCCTGTGTGATAGCAATAAAATCATAAGTTAAAAAAAAAAAATAAAATATACATGAAAGTAGAAAAAAAAAATTGGAGCCTTCCCACCCCCACATACGCACACTTTTCGGTTTCGGTTTGGTTTTCGCCACATGCATTCTGAATTTTCGGTATCGGTTTCGGCACCAGAATTTTCATTTCGGTGCACCCACTAGTGTCATGTATGCTTACACTCTCTATGCAGCCCCTTGCATGTGTTCAGCTTCTCTTATGTGCCAAGTTGCAATGAAAAATTCCTCTCTGTCATAAACCATATTTACAAATGCATTATCAATAGTAACAAATAATCAAAAAAGCATGTTATACTTACCTTCTCTATGCAATGGTATTACACAGAGCAGCCCTGATTCTCTTATTTTTGGGTCCCCCGCCAGCAGTCCTGGCTCCTTCTCCCTGCCGAATGCCCCCAACAGCAAGCATCTTGCTGTGGAGGCACTCGAGCAGGCTCGCGCCTAAGCTGCGCTCCTGTGAATGGACCCCTGCTCTCTCCTCATTGGCTCACTGGCTGTGATTGACAGCTTACATGTATATTGTAAGCTCATAAGGAGAGAGAGTGCTGGGACAGCCAAGGCTCTCGTGCACACCGCTGGATCGAGATGGGGCTCAGGTAAGTATAATGGTAGGGCGGGAGGTGGAGCTGCACCCACAAGGTTTTTTACCTTCATACATAGAATGCATGAAGAAAAAAAAACTGTTCTGTCTTTAGAACCACTTTAAATTATTTACACAACCTTTGGAAACGTGAAAATGATAATTGTAAAGTTTTGTATTTTCCATCAGTTTCAATCTCAGTGAAAAAGTGTTAATATCTCCAGCAGGAACAGAGAAAGTAAGAACTGTACTTGAATCACCTCCGCCAGATAATCCCCCACAGCTATCACCTCCCTCTTCCTTTAGATTGTAAGCTCCACGAGCCGGGCCCTCCTATTCCTTCTGTACTGAAATGTATTGTAATTGTCCTGTCTCCCTTATATTGTAAAGCGCTGTGCAAACTGTTGGTGCTATATAAATCCTGTATAATAATAATAAAAATCTAACAGATGGTTTAACTCTTTTTTTCTCTATAGTTTTACCTACAGATAAACTTTATTATATAACAAATGATTCCAGGAATAATATGGGCTAGCTAAAAAGACAGCAAGGCTATAGTGCACTTTGTCTAAAACCTCAGATGGAGCCAAAAATGTCTGAATTTAGCCCTGACCATAATAAATATAGATATAATATATTTTAACCTGCATTAATTAGTAAAAATGTTAATATTTTCAAAATTACTCATTTAAATGCATTCTAGTGTATTTTATTCAGTTATTAAGGCAGTCATCTTAATACACATTAGAGAACAGTTTCATGATTTGGGTATACCCAGATGGCTTCAGGGATGGTCTAATGTCTATGGGAAACCATCTGACAACCCTAAATAAGTGGACTGGCTAGAAAGCCGTAGAATAAGGAGAGTAGCTGTAGCAAAGACATTATGATATTGAATTGTGTATGTCCATCTGACTGTTCACGAATGCCTACAGTTTACTTTATTCCTCTTTTTAATTGATAACCACAAATGGTGAACTGGTATAAGTTTTCTTTCCTGTATACTATAAAGGTGGCTCCATATCAAACTGCATGCGGCAGTCAATGCAAGGTCCAAATTGCAGACAAAATTTTTTTGTAGACTCTGTTTACACTAATGCGATTTCAGATGCAACTTGAGTCACACAGAACCGCATGACAATAGAAATCACATTGTTTTCAATGGTACCCATTCACCTCAATGCAACTCAACACAGCACAATTTTGGAAAAGGGTCCTGTACTGCTTTGATGCCATTGCAGCATAATTTTGGCCCCATAGAATATGCAAACCACATCCAAGTTGCAATACATAATCGCACTGATAATCAGATCATAATCTGATTGCAGCAGTGTGAACCTAGCTTTACATAGTTATATGTTGGTCAACTCTGTAAACAGCTGTCAAGACCAGGATCTGAACCCACAACCTTTGTTCCATCTGGCAGTAGCTCTTCTGCTGAGCCACCTAAGATGCTGGACAGCACCTTGTCTAATCCTTTGGACATTCCTGCCTTGTGCCCTGCTTCTGGTGAATCTTGAACTCCTTGTTCTTTCCATGAACTTCCTTTTTAAGCCATGCCTTTGCACATACTGTTTGCCAGATTAGTCTATCATGGTCCGGGGTCAGGCTCGGAGACCAGTAGCTATAGCAGTAGAGAGGCTCCCACTGACCAAATGACACAAGCAGGTCTCCGTGGCATATGATACAGGCTCACCCGAGATGCAGGGTCCAAGTACTAACTGGTATTCACCAGATATGGTGGAGATGGATTTTACTGTGTGTTAGTACCAGGTCACAGTACTCAGGATTGCCCCACCAAGAGGTGAGAAAGCCAATGTCCAGTAGCAGATATAGCAGGTAGGAATCAAACAGAAGGTTACCAAATGCTGGTAACACATGGTTCGAGGTTGGGATCAAGAAGAAGCTAGAGGAGGAACAAGCCAAAGGTTAGTAACGAATGGTTGCAGGTTGGGATAGAGCGGTAACAAGTAGTAGTGAAGATATTAATGGAATTAGGAGATACAAGAGGAAGAAATTGACTGGAAAAGAGGACAATAATCTGGCAAACAGCAAGTGCAAAGGCATGGTTTAAATAGGAAGTTCATGGGAGGAGCAAGGAGTTCAAGGTTCACCAGAAACAAGGTACAAGGCCAGATTGTCCAAAGGATTACACAGGGTGCTGTCTAACATCTCAACAAGAACAGCTACTGCAAGACGCAGCAAAGGTTGTGGTTTCAGATCCTGGTCCTGATACCAGCAATTTACAAGTACAGTTACAAAGGCAGGGGATATTTTGTGAGCAGCATTCAGCCAGCATGGGAAAACGTTCAAAACGAGAAACATAGCCAGGTGTATTAACTTTAATATTATCACAACAGTAATAATGGTTTACCTATCATTTCATCTATACAAGCCTACAACATACATGTTGTTTGTTGTTCTTCCAGCATCCTGAATAAACCTTTACATATTCACCAGTGATTGGGTCTTGGACACTATATGTTCCGAAACCACTTCTCTTTCCACATTTCCATTCACCTTCATATATGGATTTTGCACTTTTGCATATGTAAGTACCTTTACCTGAAATATTACAAAAAAACAGAAAATTAGAACTTTGATGTATTAAATGTCAAGACTATGAAAGCAGTTTTCATTTCAAACACACAACTAGGATAAAAGACCACAAAACTGAAAATGCAAAAAGTTGTTAATAGCATTTGTAAATGTTAGAGTGCCCACAATTATGTTGAAATTGGGTGATTTGACATCTGTGTAGTTAGCATGCAAAGTGCATCCTACCACAATCACCACAGGTAATCGATGGTTGGGGGAACAGCTACAAATAGCTGTGACCACTGGCAGCCTGTCATTGCCATGTACGGGCTTGCACCTATCTGCTCACTGCCTTCACTCTGGATGAAAGAGCACAGGGTGATCTTTGGACAGAAGCATTATCAATCTGGTGGGTGGGAAGTGTTAGATGGACTATCAGATTTAGATACACTAGCAATTTGAAGCCAAACTTCAGCTCACGCTGCAGTTAAACAAACAGTTACAGCAACAGTTTTTTTTCTTTTGGGATAAAGTTATTACATGAATAAATAAAAGCTGATCATTGTAAGCACCTCTGTCAGTGGTACATGGTTTGTGTCAATACTCTAACTACTACATTTGTAGAAGAGCTTGTTCTGTTGAAAAACAACAGCCTTACTGGCTAGATCAACAAAGGATGGTATGCAAGCGCTATCTGAAAATAGATAAGTAAATAAAGGATAGCCGCTAGGACACCAAAAAGGCCACCAAATAAACCTTCCAAGAGATATATAAGTAATAGGTGTAGCGCTAAAACAAATATTGGAGCATATTAAATTATCTAAAATATAGCATAACAAATATACATAAAGTGTGCAGAGTCATGTCACCATTAGGTGAACAGAATAAGTGAACAAATCAATAATGTCCCATAAAGGAGAATAAATAAATCGTGGGGATCCGATGAGATCCTGTCAGGGTCCGCCACGGCGTCTCGTCCGGCGCATGCGCGGCTCGTGCCGGGATACGGGCACTCGGTCCCGGCCCGGCCGCGGCTGAGGGAGACTAGCGCATGCACAGTAGGCGCCGCGAGTACACGCTGGGCGGCCAATGACAGCACAGGGCGCGGTATTTAAAGATGCCCTGCGCTGTCACAAATCGCCGCAAGGTCTTATCCTGTAACCTGAGTTCCTGTACCCCTGTGATTGTGTTATTTTGACCCGGATTGCCCTGACTACGCTGCCTTCTCCTGTTTTTGACCCGGATTGCCCTGACTACGCTGCCTTCTCCTGTCCTGACCCCCGGCTTGTTTGACCTCTCTGCAGACTGACCATTCCTATACTGACCCTGCGTGTGACCTGACTATCCTTTGCCTGCCGATTCTGTACCTCGCTGCCCCCACGGTGACAACTGGCTAGTTTGACTACGATCCGTCCATCCATCCATCCATCCTGCCTGGGCCTGCCGGCCTCCTCACATCTGGCTCTCCTCCTGTATCCATCCCCGGAGGTTCCCTCTGCCACGGGTGGGATTGCTCGGAGGTCGTGACTTGGTCCTGGTCTGCTTCAAGTCCATCCCCACCATCAGGGGCCCTGGTGAACACGCAGACCAGGACTTAGACTCCACGCTCTGGGTATTCCTGTCCAGTGGGCTGCCAGAGGCAACACCTGGCGGATCCATAACAGATCGTAATGTAAGTGCATGGGGAACTGATCCGGAGTGGCAGATGACAAGTGATAAAATAAATGTATGAATTGCGCACTCACCAGAAGTGCGTAAATACACGCATTTGAGATAGCCTGTCTCATCAGGTATAACTCAGGTACATCTGCTTCCAAATAGGGCCAGGAGCCTGTTACACCTTCTGGTCACGTCTAGGGCAGGGTGCTCAGAAGACCTTCAAACGTACCACCATCAAGGGTCCCTTTAAAAAGCAGGTTCTGTGGATGGAGGCTCTCAGTGAAGAGAGCCCAATAAAGGACACCACATAGTGTGATACCGTAGACGATTTATTCATCAAATAGGTGTATACAGGCAAATAGGTAAGTAATATAGGGAAAAAAAACTGACCATATAAGATTCAGGATGGCCACCAGCGGTGGCTAGATGTCCAGTAACTGCTGCCCTCTGACGCGTTTCGTGCTATGCACATCATCATAGGGTGCTGGGCTTGGCAAGCCTTATTGGGCTCTCTTCACTGAGAGCCTCTGTCCGCAGAACCTGCTTTTTAAAGGGACCCCTGATGGTGGTAGGTTTGAAGGTCTTCTGAGCACCCTGCCCTAGACGTGACCAGAAGGTGTAACAGGATCCTGGCCCTATTTGGAAGCAGATGTACCTGAGTTATACCTGATGAGACAGACTATCTCAAATGCGTGTATTACGCACTTCTGGTGAGTGCGCAATTCATACATTTATTTTATCACTTGTCATCTGCCACTCCGGATCAGTTCCCCACGCACTTACATTAGGATCTCATCGGATCCCCACGATTTATTTATTCTCCTTTATGGGACATTATGATTTGTTCACTTATTCTGTTCACCTAATGGTGACATATGACTCTGCACACTTTATGTATATTTGTTATGCTATATTTTAGATCATTTAATATGCTGCAATATTTGTTTTAGTGCTGCACCTATTACTTACTGGCTGGATCACCAGATGAAAATTAAACCTAAAAAAGACAAAATAATGCAGCCATCACATCTAAGAATTGGAAGGATGCAACATAATAAATGTTTGCCTTTATGTTTAATACCACTTTAATCACAAAAAAGGGACCAGATCCATATAGAACGTAGTCCTGTTGGATCAGTAGCTGTTTGGGGGATTAAAGTGTTACTAAAACCAGGACCCTGAATGCACTATATCTGGTCTCCCACACAGTACACAGGACATGTAAATGCAGTTATTTTAGTAAATATAAACTGCTGAATACCTTTGCTCATCAGCAGTTATTGCAGTCTTTGAGCTTCTATTAGTGTTCAGCAGAGCACTGGTTAAAGCTTGTAGGAGGATTTTTCTTTCTGATCTAGGAGGATGCAAAACCCCTGACCTCTGTCTGGACAGTGCTGATTGGCCCTGTGGTGATCACATGCACTCTCCCAAGAAAAAAAAAAACCTCTCTAGCAATACCCACAAAACTGAGCAGAATGGCTATGGTTCACTCTGTCTTATCAGTAGATAAGACGTGGATATTTGAACAAGAGGAGGAGTCAGGATCAAACAGCCTTTTTACACAATGCAGATTAAACCCTTAGTGCAGACCCATTGCATGGACAAAGCAAATTGTCTCATCTCCTATCTGCCCGATTCACACCAGGTATTGCAGTGGTGTCTGAGAAAAAAAATACTGGTTGTAAAAGAGCTTTACAATCACTTTAAACACGGGGGGGGGGGGGGGCGAGGGGCAGAGCCAAGCCGTGCTCTGTGTGTTCTATAGAGACACAGATGCAGCTTGAGAGTGAGAACACACAGGTGCCCATAGCAAGTAGCTTGCTGTGAGGGCACTCAGTGGGGGGGGTTGAAGGAGAAGCCAGGAACTCCAGCAGGGGACCCAAGAAAACAGGAGATCAGGGCTGCTCTGTGCAAAACCATTACACGGAGCAGCTAAGTATAGCATGTTTGTTATTTTAATGAAAATAAATAAATAAACATTTAGTATTACTTTAACCACTTGCCCTCCTGAGGACTTTTTGCGTTACGGCGCGCATTAAGTTAACTGACCATTGAGCGGTCATGCAACGCTGCACCCAAATTAAATTTAGGTCCTTTTTTTCCCACGAATTGAGCTTTCTTTTGGCGGTAATTGATCGCCTGTGCGTTTTTTTTTTTTTTTGCGTTAAAAAAAAAAGAGTCTGACAATTTTGATTTAAAAAAACTATATTTTTTACTTTTTGCTATTAAACATGACCAGTAAAAACATTTAAAAAATCTAATTTCATCATAAATTTGCACCAAAATGTATTCTGCTCCATGTCTTTGCTAAAGAAAATCCCAATACCTGTAAATCAATTGGTTTATGTAAAAGTTATAGTGTTAACAAATGGTGGTATATATATATATATATATATATATATATTATATATATATATATATACTGGATTTTTTTTTTCAGTGACTGCGGCGGACATTCTGAACCTGGGGGGAACTGACTTGGTGTCACTGATATCCCCAGTGACAGCACTAAAAAAAAAGCACTGACACTGTACTAATGGCACTGGGCAGGAACGAGTTAACATCTGGGGTGATCAAAGGTTAACTTTTACAAGTGTAAAAGTTTTACTAGGGGGCCGTGTCAGTGTGCTTCACACTGTAAGTGTGCCCGCGCTGACAGGGAGGAGGACTGTCAGTAAACAAAACAGTCCTCCTCCCCATCGGAGATCTTCGGAAATCACTGGGCGCCGGAAAGTAATTACTGGCTGGGACCCAGCGAACGACAGCCGCACCAGCACACGCCCCCTACCAGAAAATGCAAAATCACATATACTGCAGCAGTATTTCTAATATAGGGTGGGCGGGAAGCGGTTAATAAGGTTTTTCTGTGTTTAAAGAGACCAATGAGCAGGCCGTGGACAATCAAATAATTACATATTTTTAAACAAAAACACCAAATGAGGCTTAAAACAAATCCTCACTGACCTCTGTAGTTTGAATCACTTGCATGCTTCTGCTGTGGACTTAGGGCATGAACTGTTCAACAGTGCCTGCAGCTACCTAGGTCAATGCGGGCTTGTTTTAGAGGTCATTTGCTGAGTTTTAGGAATATGTAAATACTTAGATGTTCATGGTATGGCCACAGGTTCACATTCAATATTTATAACCTGATTTGTGGTGTTGAATAAACATGTTTGTTAGTTTGGAGCCAATCAATCCTTTTATTTTAAAATGTCTTACCATGTTTCAAGTTGTTCAGCCATTCTCCTGTGTACTGATCCCCATTTACACAGTACACAGTATGTCTCAGGCCAGATTTCTGTGCTTTTCTGTCCCAATCCATCCAAGGAGGTTCTGTGTCTCTAGGATGTTTTGTAAGAGGCATGTCATTGGCACCTGTAATACATACAAATATTAGATAATGTACTTTTATACAAGGTATCATTTTTATTTGTATCACATACTGCTGGCATAGGCAGTACATGTCCACACACTGTACATTGTAAACTATACAGAACATATCAGGAGAGATTCTAACTCTTGCTCATTAGTGCTTTTAATCTAATAGCACACCCTCCAACATGATCATCTTCATAAGGTAGCCTGCTCTAAAAGTCTTTAAATTATTTCTTGCAAATAGTTCATATACCTGTCAAGTGTTTTAATAGATTCTCATATAAACATTAACATGTTATTGAAATTTTACAAGTAATTTGAAATTTTTTGAAAGTCTGCAACTTTCATTAAAATAATACATATCGATCCTATCATGAAGGTGCTTGCTCAGGAACTTCCTGTTATAAAATTAAAACTTGCTACCTCTGTCTCCTAATTGTGCTCCTGTGTTGTCACCGTGTTGTACAGGATTCCAAAGGAGGCTACATATACCCCTTAAAGAATATGTAAACCCAACATTTCATTTCCTGATACGTGTCTGCTGTACCATGTACTTGTATGAAAAAGTGTCCTGTTCTCTTTGTATTGCTGCCTTTGTGTGAAATACCTGGTGTTTCTGCCAGTCCCTCTGACCACACTAGACAGGAGAGCACAGCGTGGTCAGTTCTCTAGTTGTGCTGAGAACTCAGTGTGCTCTCCTCCAATAATCAGGCTTGTGTTGGCATGCTCCCCCCTTGCACAGCCATTCACTGGGAAGACCAGTGTGATGCTGTTTCTCCTCCCTGAGCTCCTTATGCAGCCACTTATAAAAAGGAGGAAAAATGTATTTATAATATACACATAAATGGTTTACCTTTTATTTTACTTTAACACTGGTTGCATGCATACAGTATATGAGGCAGCTGGCTTTTGCACTGAATACATATAATATATACATACATCTGGCATTTCTGTTCTGTGCTGGGAGTGTGTTCACTGGGCTACCCCAGCACTATGACGGACAGCTCCTGGTCATAGTTTATGATCAGGAGCTGGTGGGATGGGCTCCCAATCATGTGATCACTGTGACAGCCAATCATTGTGATCACATGCCTAGCAACAAGAAACAAAAACGCAGGTGCAAAACGCAATGCAGAAACGGATCAAACGCAAACTGCATAGGTGTGAACCTAGCCTAAGGCTGGCCATACATTATACAATTTTCTTGGGAATTTTGCTAGATTTACCAAAAACCATATAATATGAGGTCAACCCTAAACAACACTTCAATTGTATCCAATTAGGCAGGCTCTTGCACTACATAATTGAAGGTAAATCTAAAGGAAATTGGGCAGAAATTGGACAGAAAATTGTATAGTGTATGCATGGGCGTATTTGCAGCGAGGCAAACAAGGCACTTGCCTAGGGCGGCACTTTACAAGGGGATGGCGCCGCGCCTCGGAAGAAGGGACGTCTGTGATGTCACTACAACAGAGGAAATCAGTGAGGACTAGGAGTATCAGGCCTCCCCTGGACACTGCTGTCCTCTAGGATCATCTCAGTCCTGGCTCCCCACCAACATCCATTGCAGAGAGCTCCGGGAGCTCTGACCCTCAGAGCAGCCTACAGCCTGGCCGGGAGCACTGCATGCTGGGAGTTGTAGTCCTTCCCCCTCCTCCGACCTGCTGCCTCCACAGGAGCAAACTACAATCCCAGCAGGGTATGCGGGGGAAGGACTACAACTCCCAGCATGCAGTGCTCCCGGCCAGGCTGTAGGCTGCTCTGAGGGTCGGAGCTCCCCGCAGTGGATGGCGGTGAGGAGCCAGGGCTGAGTGATGATCCCGGAGGACGGCAGTGTCCAGCGGAGGCAGGGATCTCTGTCACAGAGAGGGAAGGGAAATGCGGCTGTGAGGAGGATACATACCGGCAGTACATGGCTCCCCCTCTCGGTCTCTGCCCCTCCACCAGGCCTGGTGAGTGATCTCTATCTTACTGCTGTGTATACCATGTATACTATTGGGGGGGGGGCAGAGAGCTGACAGACTGCCAGGTGACTGACTCATACCACTAACTGACACCTCCACACCACTCATACCACTAACTAACTGACACCTCCACAACACTCATACCACTAACTGACACCTTCTCACCGCTCATACCACTAGCTGACACCTCCACAACACTCATACCACTAACTGACACCTTCTCACCGCTCATACCACTAGCTGACACCTCCACAACACTCATACCACTAACTGACACCTTCTTGCCACTCATACCACTAACTGACACCTTCTCACCGCTCATACCACTAACTGACACCTCCACAACACTCATACCACTAACTGACACCTTCTTGCTGCTCATACCACTATTGAAACCTTATCGCCGCTCATACCATAACTGGCTCATACCACTAACTGGCACCTTCTTGCCGCTCATAGTAATGACACCTTCTTGATGCTCATACCACTAAAGACACCTTCACAGAAAGATGTGGCAGACCACTAAGTTCCACCCAGCAAATGTTGGTGCACTAGAGACAGTGGGGGTGCACTGGGGGGGGGGGGCGATTTTTGTGTTGCCTAGGGCAGCACAAAACATAAATACACCACTGAGTGTATGGCCAGCCTAAGGGAGGCCCAGCTGTTACTCATCACCCTCACTATCATAGGAATGAGTTCTCAAATGCTGAGCTCACAGCTCCTGCACCAGGGGAGAGAGAAAAGAGCATGTGAGGGAGTTTAGATCTGGGAAAGAGCTGGCTGCTGTGATGGTGGAGGTTAGCAGTAACATACGGGCCTCACTTAGCAACATCCTAGTAACATAGCATAACATAGCATAGCAAGGGTATTATTCAATTTTGGTCAAAGCTGTACAGTTTGTTTTTATTCACAAACATCCCTTATCTGTGTAGGCAGCTTTTTGGTAAACGTGAACTAACCCTCTAAAAGAGTCCTTTTTCATGCAATAAAGGAGGGCCAGGACACTGAGAGCAGCAGACAGTGCAGTCCAGTTCTAGCAGACATGTTGTGGTGCCCAGTGCTGAGTCAGATAGATACTGAGGGGCACCAAGCAGAGGAAAAGCCAGTTATTATATACCTTTGCCGCAGTCTGTCACCTACCTATGTATGGCAGCACAGCAGCGGTAAGTGGCCTGTGACAGACAGTGACACTGACTGCAGACTACCAGCCTTGAGCGTTCTGTCCTCCAGGCCAGGCTCCTGCCAAGTCAAAGGCGGCAGAAAAACATAGTATATACAGCGTGGTGGGTGAGACTATAGGTGGATATAACTGTGACCCTGCCTGCCTCGGGCCAGCCTACTACAGGGCAGGGACACTTGGCATACTGGCAATATGCATGGGGAAGGGGGTGATGGATGGACCCCCCTGATCCTATCCTTATCTACATCCCTGACCCTGAGATCAATCCTTCTGTCTTCACTTTGTGCATGCTTGTTCCTGGTCATTTCTGCAACAACAGCCCACAGATAATCAAGCAACTGATATCAGCAGTTAGCACCATCCACCCCCCCCCCCCTCCATTTTCTTTAACCGCAAAAACAATCTGTAAACAGTGTTGTAGTTATCAATGGCAGTGATTAGAGAAAGGAGCCCTCATGTACCTCTGGTCTGGGGTCCGATCAGACCCAATCCTGGATACACAGAAATCCCCATCACTTTACCTACAACACATAGACCCATGCAGACACCCCTTACCTTCTCCTCTGTACACGGACTCTTCTACCAGGAGCCAAACAAGAACGTGTCAGAGCAACAACACACTCGGCAACCATGGCAACGGGACGCCGGGCCTCAAGGCTAGGCCTGTGTAGCGGCAAGATCTGTCTCCTCAAGTAGATCTGTCCCCCTGAAGCAACTGCGCATGTCACGGTTCTAGTCATAAGAAGACGATCGCCGTTCAACAACCATAGCACAGAGCTGTCACAGTAGCCGGAGTAGCAGTAAAATAGGTATGCCGTGAAGATGCGTATTCCCTTGAAGCAACTGCGCATGTTCTGGATTCAGGCACGATCAGTGGACTATAGAACTGCATCCGAACCTGTACCTGAGGTAAATTAACCTTTCACATGCCGAGTGGTCGGCTGAGGGACACAGACAGGATCGGCGGGGGATACTGAGAATTATTAACCCCTTACATGCCGAGTGGTCGGCGGGGGCTGTTACATGCCAAATTCTCTGCAGCGACATTGGACAGTGTCAGTAACATTGGGGGGGGGGGGAGCAGTCTGCAGCGACATCGGGCAGCATCGGACACCGTCAGTTACATGGGGGGGGGGGGGGGGTCGAGCAGTGTCAGTGATATATGGGGTGGGGGAATAGTGTCAGTGATATATGGGGGAGGAACAGTGTCAGTGACATGGGGGGGGGGGGGGGACAGTGTCAGTGATATATGGGGGAGGAACAGTGTCAGTGACACATGGGGGGGGGGGGGGGGGGGCAGTGGCGGTGACATGGGAGGGGAGAAGTGTCAGTGACATGGGGGGAGCAGTGAAGTGACATGGGGAGGATAACGTCAGTGACATGGGGGGAAGCAGTGTGTCAGTGACATGGGGGGGGGGGAGCAGTGTCAGTGACATGGGGGGAGGGGGGGGGAAAGCAGTGTCAGTGACATGGGGGGGGGGGGACAAGCAGTGTCAGTGACATGGGGGGAGGGGGGGAAAGCAGTGTCAGTGACATGGGGGGGGGGGAGAAGCAGTGTCAGTGACATGGGGGGAAGCAGTGTCAGTGATATGGGGGGGGAGAGCAGTGAAGTGACATGGGGAGGACAATGTCAGTGACTGGGGGGGGGGCGCAGTCAGTGACATGGGGGGCAGCTGTGTCGGTGACATGGGTGGGGAACAATCTCAGCGACATATTGGGGGGCAGTGTCAGTGAAATATAAGGGGGGCAGTGGAAGTGACATGGGGGGACATGGGGAGGGGGGGAGCAGTGAAGTGATATGGGGGGGGGGGGGGGCAGTGGCAGTGACAAGGGGAGGACAACATC